AGCTGAGCATGGTACCGGCGTCGTTGCTGTTAGTCCGGTGTAGTAGTAAGATGCATGTGTGTATGTGTGCGTGATCATTATCTTGAGAGGTTTATATGAGCAGAACGTATTTGGTTTGTGACATCCGGTACGTTCGCAGCTTTCAGCATTTTTGCTATAAAGCACCGGATACTGCATCGTAGACAGAGTAGCAGATCAGCCTCTGATTGTAGGTCTGCCTCTTCGTTGTTTCTCTGTTTTGCATGCTGGCCTGCCAGCCAGCATCTGTCATGTTTCAGCTCCCACATGAGAAACTAGCCTTCTGCAGTAAACGGTTTCTGTTCAACTAGTGTTTGGCAGGGTTAATTTCCTTACCTTAATCTCTACGTTTATTAAGATCACCTGTGTCTGAAACATAGAATAATACGTGGTTCATTTAACCCTTATTATGCGTTTGAGCTAACGCTGCTGTACCCAGTTCAATCGTCGTTCTTGCTCCTTCGTTAAAACAGCTGTTTCCATGCCTTAGAACAACACAGACTTACCAGAGACAAGATGCATATGGTTTATTGTGGAAAAGACTACCCATTAATCAACTCAAATATTCCACAGGCTACCCAGATCATTGCATGCCAGAGCGAACCTCCTATTTAATTTTTATTGCGAACGGTGCCATCGCTGGAAATGGTTTAGCCGAGATACTCAAACTGGTCTAAGATCAGCCATGTCTTACGGATTTCTCATAACTTTGAACTTCCGGGCTTTAAGTTGGAGGCCGGCTTTTACAGCTGTTGCAAACGGAAAGCGTCAGATGACAGTAGTCTTGCCGTATTATTCGTCTAGACAGTGTCGTCTTCGTGCTTCAGGTCAGTAAGATCTATTACTAGATATCTTGCAATGAGCCTTTCCTCTTGAATGAAAACGTCTTTGCTACGGTCAGGACTGCGTCAAGGTAATAAGAAATGGGACGGTGGCTGAACGAAGTTGGAAAACTACAAGTTGGAAAATTGGTAACCAAACGAAAGGAATGATCAGCAGTGTTTAATAGATGTGACGACTAACAAAGGTAGCAACTCTTAATGAATTACATAGGTTCCTTCTAGAATATTTATCTTTCTATATGTTTGTTCTGTCATAACAGATTCAAAATTTTCCTCTCTTTCTTTTCGGTTTATTCTACTGGTGTCGCATCGTATGGTTCGATTCTTAGCTATGCTGTCTTCGCTATTGGGTGATCCTTTTATGTTTTCTCTGTTAAATAAAGCAAATAGACAAAGGCGTAAATCACTCATGTTATCCATCAAATTATGTTCTTGGAATTTGTCGAAAAACCTAAAGTACTGTTAATAAATTGAGATGAATTAACAAGAATTGCAGAATGTGATTAGTCTACACAAAGCGAATAAATCAAAAAATTTAATTATGTAGTGATTTTAGGAGAATTGCTCCAAGGTCTCCAGGTATATGTTATGTTCCTCCCGACATCTAGTAATTTTAACCATCTGAGAGGATGTATTATTTGACTCGTTGTTATAGCTTACTTGTTATATTTCTGTTTTTTTTAGATTATCAATTGGCGCTGTCGAGCATCTTGTCATACATACTGTTGCCCGCAGATGAATTTTCCTCGAAGCTGTCGCGATTTTTGATCAGGGTTGTGCCTCTAATTGTTTCTTTTCGTTACGCTGCGTTTATAGGATATTCTGGCAGCAGAAGTTATTGGTCAGACTGTAGATTTACTATCAAATCCGGATTACGTGGTCGAAATACTTCTTTGGCTGGTAGGTAGTTGATTTTTCTCGACACTTCTTGTGAGTCTTAATTTAAAGGCATCATGAGTTAGTTGACACCAATGCTGCCGTAAGAGATGACTCGTACAAGTTATTACACCGGATTTTACCGCAAAGTTGCACCGCGCATTATTTTTGGAGGCGCCTAAGGGTCTCTATGAACTGGAAAAAAACTACATGACGTTATAACACATTGGGTTGATGGATGCGTAGAAGTATGTTCGTTCCAACAATATACGCGTTCTTAGCACATGTTGAAACAATATACATGATCGTTGTACCAGCAAGAATGCTCTCTTAATGCGTACGCGTTATAACACCATTTTGTTGCAGTTACCGTTTTTTTTGTTCCAAGTATCTATTAGATTCTATTTTTTATAGTTAAACGACGTGCCCCTTAAGTACGAAGATTTTCTGACCGTTTTGGAGACCTGTGACAGCACTGACGAATTGTCAGCTACCATAGAAATCCTACAGAAGGAGATCGACGTCCAGCGCTCGAAAGATATTGGCGGAACCGACGGTTCGATTTCCAGTTATGAAAATCTTGTTTTTACACCCTCTATCTTTTAGGCCGTGCCGTGAAGCAGCAATTGAGCAGTTTATATTTTCTTAAAAAGCAGATTGCAAATCGTCTAAATGCGTTGCAAACTTCGGATGCCGCTATTGTAATCTAGGGGAAGTGAAATTTACATGTCGGATATTCACCCTTTGTATTTAGGACGAGTCAGACTCTAGTTGGAGCGAATGTGCGAACTTGTACGATTTGTCGCTGACGTTTGTCCTGTGCAACAACGTCGCTTTATGTCATTTCATAGGTTTGGCGTGTAACTTACTTCCGCCTTGTATGTAAATTGCTTGCTTTTGTAGATTTTCTTTGTCGAACCGATGGCAAGCATTATATCGACTTATTTCTTACCATTGAGGTATGCGTTTCTTGCTACCGTTTACGATATGGAAGAAATTTTCCTAATACATTTCACAGGGCTTCAAAACCAGTTTTGGGCAGCCATCAACTTCAGGCTACAACGTTCTGCCCTCCCACGGCGTAGCATATGATAGGCGCAAAGAGACGGTGTCCAATGCTCGGGAAGTTGCGTCGGAACTGTATAAGCAGTTTTTTTCTGAACAAGTAATTGTAAAATGCTCCATGTTGGTTAACTTGTCATGTGCTATTCGAGAAGTACCTTTTGGACGTTTGAGATTACAGGAGATACAAACTACATACTATTCAGTTACAATATCGCCTAATTATCCTTCAAAAGCATTCAGAGCTCTCGTTAAGCCAGCAACATTTCACACGCATTGAAATATCAAAGTGACGGCAGATACGAAGAGTTTAATTTAATGAAGTTCTTAGTATTGAAGAAACAGCCTACCGCTATATGCCCATGAATTGGGTTGTCAAATGTTGCGGAAGCAATAGCAATAGCAAACTGACCGTTGGGTTTTCTGTCTTATTGAATAACCAGATTATACCTGCTTACTCTTGGCCTGCAAAGATTTTTCTCTTAAACACTGCTCGATTTAGGGTTTAATATGATGGATGACTAAGTTCTTAAGCCTGAACTTTTAATCCGAGCATCATCATCTGCAATCCATTCAAGTTTGATGACCAGGTGAACAGTTTTATTTGATAAAAGAAGATATGCACCACTCAGTGAAATCACTTAAGCATATCATCCTTAAAAACTGCAGTTGAGACATTTTTCTGACTCGATGATTATTTCATGTAATGGTGTGCACGTAAGCTCGAAGCGTAGAAGCCATATGTTTACTTTCATAGACGTGCCAAGTTGTCGACATAAGCGATGCCATGAAGAAGCGTTTACAGAACAACATCCAAGAGCGGTATGACGTAAATCACTGGTTCGATGAAGTGCAAAAGAAAGTAACGATTGATCGTTCATCTGTCATCGTCGTAACGCTTATTGTTGTTCGTCACTCAGATTTTTGACATCCTGGAATATGACCCGCGTTTCTATCCGGCGTTCAAACGAAGTTACGCTTACGTGAAGCTCTTAGCTGAGCTAAGGTTGCTGCCGACAGTGTACGAAAAGATGGACAGTACGTTTTGTCCCAGTGAAGAAGGTACCTAAAAAAGATGAGAGACTTGGTCTTTGTTTTCGTTAATGCCCTTCGATTATGGTTTCTTATGTTTAAGCGCTCGACACGGAATCCATACGTTCCTTTGAGTCCGCCAATTCTGCTGAGATCACGCTGTTAAACCATGCCCAGGTGCTTTTTTTACTTTATGAAAACTGACATATACCGTTATATGTTGATAATTCGTTTGTATATTATATGGCCCTTCAGGATAGGTCGAACGTGTTCTGAAACGTTGGACAAATTGTTAATACTTTGAATATACGGAGTAACGTCGTTGCTGACTGATTATAAAGAATATAAAGATAATAATACCTGCTTAAAACAGTTTATGCATAGTTTTAAATGCGGCGTTATAGATTTTACTCTGAATATTTCTTTTAAATGTAATTGTCAAAAATGCATAGAGATATCAAAGCCGAATTTTATCGCATCTGTCTAACCGTTACTGCCTATAATGCCTTATTTAATACTGTACTTCTGACACTAATAGCGCTAGTACTTTAAATCATAATGCGAGTAGTGATAAATCATAGTACCATAATACCAAATCATAATACCAATGATTGCAGCACCACTACTATCAGAATTAGCAGTTTTGCTGTTTCGATTTGGTGTAAAAATACTGCCACTGTCAGAAGTACTAGAACTACTTGTTTAAAGTAGGTCATGCCGCTGATTTAATCTTGTAGGAAATACTGTAAAGCGGATATGAATGCGTCCTCATAATCTAAATTACGTACAGTACGGATTGTTTTGGTAATTTTTACAATACTACTGGTGCTACTGCTACATGCAGTGCGACTGCGTTTGTATCGTCACAGTTATCACATAACTGTCTGTTTCTGCTGTCCGTTTTGTGCGAGCTAGTAAACCGTTGAATTATTATAGGTGATCTTCATTCTGATTCTGTCATAAGCTGCGCGAAATAGCCTTATCGCTTTGCTTTGAATCAGAACTTAAGGTCACCTAAGCTCATCC